GCCCACCCCCCACACTGGGCAGCTTTTCACGCAGCTACCTGGAATGCACACTGCACCAAGCTGCCATGTGATTGTCACCACGGCCTCCAGGCTGCCTTGTAACACACAGCCATGACAGGAGTTTAGCTTTCAAGAATTTGGGGTACAGTTCCCCCCAAACCCCTGCACTGATCTTCCTGAAACTTGGCAGCTTTCATTCTCTCCACAGACGTTACCATCCCTGCAAGATTCATCCAAATTGGACAAGAAACAACAAAGTTATAGATATTTCACTGATTCCCCATTATACCCTATAGCTGGATCTCCGAGGCGGCTCCAAAACTTCAGAGCCGCTTTGGCCGGATCGAGGTGGAAACCCAGTCTGGAGCTCCAGATTGAATCGCAGCCATCTGAAGTGGCCAGATGCGAAGCTGGATTGGATGGCTGCCGACTTGCAAAGGCCTACTAAATATATATTATATTGGTATCTCATATTTAATCATGGATAAATACGAATTTTGGGTTATGTTTTTTAAAACAAAAATTAGGGATTTTTACCAGAGAAAACCAGGATCCCTGGTGATAAAGGATATAATATATAGGAAACGTTCGTGTGCAATTAAAAAATAGTGACATGAACTCACTGGAAATGCGTGATGGGGTTCAAGGGGTGGCAGAGTGCAGACGTCCAAGATTTTTTGAGCTTTGTTGTTTATTCATAGATTTTGTTTTAATTTCTAAATAGATTTTGAATAATTTTCAAATCAATACAGAGGTAACCTAAAAAGGAATTATACTTTTTATGGCTAATATATACACCTTATTTTCTCACTTATCATATAACCTAAAATAAAACAGGCATCTTGTTGTGAGAAGGCAAACTGAAGAGAACAAAAAAGGTTTTTTTGGAGCCATGGTAGAATTCTGGCAGCACAGAGCAAATAAAGAGTCTACATGCACATCAGCACTAATCACCCTCCCTTTCCTGCTCAGCCAAAAGCTGCTGCCAATTTGGCTGCAGCTGTGATAGGGTTAAGTCACTAGCTTGTGGCTGAGCTTCAGACTCCAGCTCCCTACCCACAGCCAGGAGGGAGCCAGCCCCCAAGCAGCCATTCTAGCATCTGCACACCTCCATTCCAGAATGGAAATCAGAATCCTCACTTAGAACATGCACCCCAATTTTGAATGGCTAATTTGGGGGAAAGGTGCATATAGTCTTTCAGTAAATATATATCTTAAAATATAGGGTTGAATTAAAGCAAATCTTAAACATATGGATACATGTCTACTTCTTGTTGGTACAATATATAAATCTCATTAGAATACAGATGCTTACATTTTCAGTAGTTCCAGTGATTACGTGCAGCCCATCATATGTTGATTTGATATACATCCCCTAAAGAAAGATGAAGAGAAGGAATAATTAGTATCTCTGTGTGGTTACTGCTACAAAAAACAAAACAAAAAAACCCCCAGCTCTCTCTTGTGCTAAAGTAAAAAGATAAAAGATATTTACACAATAATATTCAGAGAACATGTATTCTGATTTAATCTTAATAGTATTTCAGCAGATTGGAGGGAACTATACTGAATAAAAATTTCAAAACAAAATTAAAACAAATACATATTTTAAATCACTCAAAAAGTATATTTTCCATTTTAATGCTTCTTCACTACTTCCAGTACAAAAACATAAGAAAGTCTTTGGACAGGATTTAACAACAGGCATTAGCAGGTAACCTGGACACAATTTGGCATTTATTTATATATCATAAATATTTATATATACATAATTATAGATAATAATATCAGTGTGTGTGTGTATGTCAATTTGTATGTGTATATATGTGTGTGTGTGTGTGTGTGTGTGTGTGTGTGTGTGTGTGTGTGTGATCACACTGTTATATACATACACATACATACATACATGTATACAACGGCTGGTCACTTACAGCCGTTGTACATTAAATATATATACACACACACATATATATACAAGAAACAAATCTGTCAGAACCAATGCAAAGAACAGGAGCAGAGACTTCAAATAACACATATTTTTGATTTAGCAGAAATGAAACTTGATAGGTACAGCTGAAGTGTCAGTAAGGTTCAGCTGCTAGCTTTCTTGGCTCTTGGGAAGTGGGTCAGCATTTCACTTATCATCACAAGAGTCAGATTTTCCCCTAACACTGGTAAAGTCATATTGTACTGTTAAAACATATTCATTTACAGAATCCTGAAATGGACGTTAAAATCTCACAACAGGTCAGAAAGAGGGTTTTCTTTAATAGAAAATGTTGATCGTCAGGGAAAAATACCCAAAATCTGAAATATTTGTATTTCAAAATGCTGCCATGGTGTGCCATGGGAATTGTAATTTTAATGTTTCATGTCCCCAAGGGTTAGACTTCCCAGTTGCATTACATCTCTAAGGAAACACCATGATACTTACCCTTGGGGAAGGAAGTTCATTGTGGAAGTTGCATGGAACATGCACAGTGCATCATAGTGAGTCCAGCTGGCAAAAAAAGGTAGGTAACCATTTTGCTTCAGTTGAAGGGGAAAAAATGAAAGGAGGTGAGTTCACCCCAGGTTAAGAGGGAAAATGCACCATAAAAATTACAACAAGGCCACAAAATGGCATCATCTGTAGCACTGTCAGAAAAGAGGTAGCAGTAGCAAAGAGGGGTCACAACCAATGGCAAGGCATTAAGCTGCAGTAGAGTCTTTGAGCTGTCTGAACAGAGAAAGTAAATAAAGGAAAATCTTTCATGGGACAGTGCGATTCACAAGACAGTGAAAGTGGTGGGAAACTAGAAAGGATGCTGTTCTGATTGTCTCCTAACTTCAAGTCACTAAGACACATGAAACTGTTGCTTGACAGGTGATTGAGTGGAAATGAGAAATATTTCTCTTAGTACATGAGAAGCATGAGAAACAGGACCAGAGTGCCCACCTCGCTCCTTGGAATTAAACATAATGTGGGACTCTGGTTGAGAAAAAAATGAAAAGCTGGAAGGGCTTTACCCACTGCCACAGTGGAAAATAAATAGCAGTCTAGGATGCCTTCTATGGCTAGGTACAGACATTACACATAAACTGATGTAAGTGATTGGAACCTGATTTAAACCTGTAGCAGAACAAAAGTTCAGCGCACATAGACTGGTTTAAAAATGGTGGAACTAGATCTAAGATAGACCTGGATGGATGTAGTATCAGACTTAATCAGTTTACATTAGATAAGTCTATTGAACTTCTGTACCAGATAGCCTCCTGACTCAAGTCACAGTCTGCCAGCAGCCCAGGCACCTTTGTGGCCCCCCAGCTCCCCCCTCACATGGAGGCACACTGGAACTTGGCTTGCACTTGGCTGCTCTGAACTGTCAGCTGCAGGCAGGGGGGAAGGGAAGGAAGTGTCTGTGGCTCTGTATTTTTTATTTATTTATACAATGTCCCTAAGCAGGAGAGAGGGAGGAAGCTCTGCAAAAGGAAGGATCAAGCCCCTTGGAGCTCTGGCAAAGGCAGGTGCCCAACAGCAGGACAGGGCAGGCAGAGCAAGTGAGCAGTGGTTGAAGCATAGATGCTGACTTCTATTCTTGCGGGGGGGGGCTAATATGATGCCCCCCTCCACCCCCAACAGGGGCAGAGCCAAGCAGAACCCATCGGGGGGCAAGAGTGAATGCAGGCTGAATGCTGTGGGCTCAGGGATCCCTACCCTGCTGCCCATGCCCCTCTGGGAACCCTGTGCCACCATGGTGAGGTGGCCCCAACTGATGCAGCAGCATCAGGGGTGGTAGCATGGTCAGCTCATATCTGCTTCCACCTCACACACAAATCTGGGGGGCACATGCCTTACCATACCTCCCCACCACAGGAGTGTGCTCAGCGACACGGGGCTCCCCCACTGAAAAACTGCCTATGGTTCTGTCCCACTCCCCACACCGGCCCCAGCACCAATGCACTATCCTGGCTGGGCAGTGCTCCCAGGTCCAGCTCCTGCCCCACTTCCTTTCTCACTGTGGGAGCCTCTATCTGCCTCCCCGACTAGACTTACCTGCAGGCATCTGGGGAAGCTGCTCTCCACCACTGCCTAAGGCTGTATTCCTGGCCATGTGCATGTGTGCCACAGCCTCTTGCAGGCTGGAACTCTACCAGCCTGCAAGGGGAAGGGAAACCTGCCACTTCCCACATTTTTCCATGGTAAATGGAAAACCCAGATCCCTGCACGATATTGGGAATCCAGGGAAAATGTTGTCCCAGAGTCGTGCAGCCCAAGACCAGGACTTGTTCCCATTTTGGGACTGCCTTTTCCCAAGGAGGGGCCAGGGCCCTCGAGCCCCTATGTACTCAGTGCCTATGGAGTGAGGACTGCTGTGCCTTGTCTGTGCTAGGCCTAGCAGGGCCATGGTGCAACACGGAAATGAGTGGAGCTGCAGCCACTGCCTCACCATGCTATTGCCCCTGGCACCCAGTGGAGTAGTTGACTTCAGAGTGTGTGTGTGTCTGGCCAGTCTGATCCCAAGTGGGGCCATAGCATGGTGAGTCAGTGATCAGAGCTGCTGCCGCTGGCACTTGGTGGGGCATAGGGTTTGGGTGGGGGATGCCTGTGTCCATGTCTAACATGGGCCTGAGCACTCCTTCCCTGCACCACTCCAGGAAATCCAGTTAGGACAGGCACCCCCAGCCTCCATCACAACTCCTACAAGATGCCCATTCCCAGACTGCCCCCACTCCAGCACTTAGTGGACAGGTTCTGCCTGGATCTTGATCTCTGGGCATCTCTAGCCTGGCTGGGATTGCTCATCCCATGAACTCCCCCCTGCACTCCTGACTACTCACTCCTTTCTTCCCTCTCCCCCACTCTTAGCTTCATGCTGTGAAGCCACCTCCCAGTGATTTCTCAGAGCCCAAAATCATCATCAGCTCCTAGGCAAGGCAGAGATACCCTCCATTGCCCAGTGGCCCATTCACTACTGCCTTCGGCTGTGAAGCTGTAGATAAGAAATGAGGTTACCAGGTCACTGGATCTGCCATGGTGCTGGATACAGAGCTTGTCTGGGCCTATGTGCAGAATTCAAATGACTAAATTATAATATCAGTGCCCTTTTGCACAAGAATGTAAATTCATGACTGGGACCACCTGAAACATAACAATACAGTTAATCTTATCTTTGACTTTGGTCTCAAGTACAGCCCATTCCCAACTACTCTAAATTGATTATGAATAAGTACCCCTTTCAATGTGATTGCTCTTCCTTATTATCAGATCCTTCACCAACTTAGGTGTCTGTACCAGTTGGAAAACATTTTGGATTCTGCCCAGTTATCACAACAATCTATACAGTGCCTTACAATTCAGGGTCTAAGGTGCTCAAGTCAAGTAACCAAGTCCTACAGCAATTAAATAAAGTATATCTCCAGTTTAGGGTGTTGGGCTCGAGTAATCAAGCCACACTATAGTTAAGCAAATGACAAACCTCTAGAGTGATCAAGGGGTTTTGTGCATATCAGTTTCACCCACAACAACCAGAGATGGATCCAAAAGGCTAACATTTACTTCACAACCAAAGGACAATGACCTCCACATTGTCAGCTATGCCTGATCTTCAACCCATCAAGAAAAATATGCTTTGAAGAATGAGTATAAGAGAAGGATGGAGCTGCCAGCAAGGCATGCTTATCTCAGAAGGGAAACACTATGCTGATCCATCATAACCTGCACCCAGTTGACTACCCTCAATGACGGATCCATGCCTGGTGAGAGGCTGCAAAGATCAGGACCACTTCCTTGCCCATGCTGGTGAGAACACCACTATTATGGCTAGAAATATACTGGACTTGATTATAGCTTGTTTTGTTTGTAGATTGCAATAGCCTACCTGTCATTTTCCTATATAGCTCGTTGTTTAGTTAATAAAGCCTTTCTGCTGATTATCGATGGAAGTGTCGTGTCAGTCTTCCTAAGCACTAAGCACCCCATTTTTAATTGCAACAATGGGGAACAGCTGTTGCCAGACCCAATCCCCACATACAAAGAGCCCCTTCCCCTTCTCCTTCCCCCTCCCCTTCCCCAACATCAGAACATGAAGCCAGAGGTTTCTGCTGCTTGCCTGACTAGCCTATTGTCAGCTGCCTTCCCTTTGGGAGCCCCAAGGGTTGAGCCAGACCTAAAGGCAGTCTTACGCAGAGTTTGGATAGGGCTGAACCTGCCTCAGGCAGGGGTCAGACTAGATGACCTCTGGAGGACCCTTCCAGCCCTACTTCTTTGTGATTCTCTATGATTCCTGTGGCTGACAAAGCAGCATGGGGGGGGGAAAGGGGTTCTCCCCCATGCCTGACAGCTAATCAGTGGTGACCTCCCCATTCAGCTGTGCTTGGGAGTCTCTGGCAGCC